ACACACACACACACACACACACACATACACACACACGCACACACCAAAGTCTCGGCGTGCACTCGCTATGTAAAAATAAGGAAACCTACGTGCTGTCAATTCTGTGGTAAATTAGAAAGGCGCTCAATTTGCTGCTGCATAAAAGATACAAGAGCTTGATTCCCAAGTCGGGAGCAACTTTTATCGAGTATTTCTGTCTTTCTGCTGAGATGTTGTCATGTATCCATCTCAGCTCGGGTTGGCCCTAACAGGCAGGATCAAAAGCCCACCTCCGAAATGATCTAAATTATGTTGAAGAGTTATTCGATGGCATTGCTGTTTACAAATTAGATGGCTTTCTTGATCAACAATCGACGTTGTCGATTTACTTCGGATTTACTCAACCAAAGTTTGCCTTTAGCAAACTGAGAAATTGATGGACAAATTACATCTCAGATAGATCTCTACATTCTTTCTTGTTGGGGCCTTATGGTAAAACGACACTTAATCATGGCATAATACTGTTGTACCAGGTGTATGTATATATATATATATATTGATAACAGCAAATTATGGAAAAAAATTACAACTCAATGGGATTCTATAAAAATCGAAATGTTCTACTTTTTATTTCATGACAATGAAAGGTGAGATGATGTCGCCCCAAACATTCCCCTGTATAATATATTGCACTTTCCCATTGTTCATCACTGAGATTCAGGTTCCTCCACTCTGTATGCTTTCTTCGATGTCATTTGATCCTGCAAGTCATCACCTGAGAATACAACAAAAGCATTCTGTTGGGGACCTGGGTGTAGGAAGTGACTGGGAATACAAAATGCAGCATGACGTGGAGTTTTAAAGTATATTCAGGCAATAATTGGCAATTAAAGGAATTCATCTAGTCAGAATCACATTGTTTTGTGTGTGACTGCAAAGTACATGTACCAAACTTTTACACCACTGACGTGGGAATTCCACGAAGTGCAGAGACAATATTTGTTTTAGTGAAGAGCGTTACAAAGCGATTTGTGCTGCAGAAAATGCCAATACATCAGAAATTCAGTCGTTCCGTTTGTTTCATAGATGCCTAGAGCAATGTAAATTAGAATTTAAAAGAATAAATTCTTAAGATTGTTCAAATATATTCTCTTCATACGCTCATAACTATGATGACAAAAAATGTTATCATAGTTATGCACAGAATAAATTTTTACTCTTATTTCATACATGTATAACCCGACTCCTGAGACGCTCGCGGCCGCGCAGTGAAGCACCAGCAATGGCCTTACTACACCAAGGAGTTTAGAACTACATGTACTGTAAACTCCTTGCCTTACACCCGCTCTGGGTGAAGCCTCGATCAGGAGGACTTCGGTGCTTGCACGCGCGACTGGTGGCGTCCCACACACCATACATAAGTGCAATGCCTCCCTCAAGTAACCACATGTCCTTGTCATAGAGATAGGCCTAGAGAGGAAGAAAACTCTCGGCTCTGAATACATGTTATATCCCCAACTCGAAAAAGACACTTTCAAAAAACAGATCGTACAGCAGAATCATATTATCATAATTATTCTGTCGGGCAGTCGGGGCTAGATTTATAGAAGAACTCCACTGAAACAAAGACCGTGATGTTTCAATAGCCCTATCTGGCGTTCGGGCGAGCCTTCGGGGCTTCCCTGTGCTGGAGCGTGACGGCCCGTGATACGAGCGTAAAGTAAGCAAACGTTTCAGCGCTCTTGAGTTGAACGCGTGCAATTTGTCAGCGGGCAGAGAGAGAGAGAGAGAGAGAGAGAGAAAGAGAGAGAGAGAGAGAGAACAGGTGTAGTGAGAAATCCCTGACTGCCCTTACAAATCTGGAACAGTTGGAATGACTGCATTTAAACCCTTGACTTTAAAAATACGAAAAGTAGAACAACCATTCCTCACAATAATGAAACTCTTTAGAATTTAAAAACTGAAATATATTTGAGATACTGAGAACACAGACATGGTCAAATGAAAGGGTTCTGAAAACTCAACCATGATGCAAGATAGTGCACAATATCTGTTTGAAATAGCAAGCCTAAGAATCTTGCACTTAATAAAAATAAAAAAGAGGAAGAGAAGTAGCCAACAATGCAAGCTTCAAAATATAATCCAGACTAAAAATGAAACTATCATAAGAAAGGAAAAAAGCACAGTGAAAAAATAGGAAGAGAAATTAGAGATCATATTACATAGCAATGAATGTGCAGTGGCATGTACATTTAACTTTGAAATCAAAGCCTTGTAAAGATTTTTACAACATTTAAAATCAAGTTCCAAAGATTGTGCATAGTGGTAAAGGTCCATTTCCAATGACAAATTTACTACAACTAACTTTCTTGTTTGTTTTAGTAGAGGTTTTATGGGGCTCGCAACTGCATAAGGTAATATGAGCGCCAAGGGGTGGATGTCAACAGAGAAGTCCTTACAGGGAATCAGGCTTACTCTACTCACCTCTTTAGCTTCAACAGCACAAAGTCTGCTTCCACTTTTACGGCACCCCAGAAATAGTGGGTCACAATAGCCAGACAAACATACAAAAGAAGTAGAGGAAAACTGACGATAGTAAAGATTAGGAAAGAAAAAGCAGCAGTTCCCTGTTGCAGTTCAGGCACAGTTATGAGCATGACTTTGATGAATCAGCCCTTTGACCATTACAATTCTACAGTGCATAAGAACATGGTTAATGTTTCCCCTTTGGGAATGGCCAACAGACACTTCAGTCAGTAGCACCACCCTGGGGGGTAAAGTAACTCTCTGCGCAAAAAACCCAACCATGCACATACAACAACCGTATCAGCCCTTGCAGCACAATGAATCACGAGCTTATAAACATAAAAAAATGTTTAAATAACTTGAAAAAACACAAAAGTCTGGATTTGATAGTAATAAAGTAATTCTGTATCTGTTAAGTAGAATAATGACAAGAATATTGTAACAGCTGTACCATCTATGACTGTGAAAAAATGTTTCACTGAAAAGGATACTCTACAAAACAAAATCCGCAAGGTGTTTTCTTGACTTTGTCCAAACCCATGACAATTCGCTTCACATCACCTGCTCGGCCGAAGAGCTCATGGATCTGTCCCTCACTGGTGTAGAAGGAAAGATTCCCGATGTACAAAGTGGAGCTGGCCAATAGTTTCTGCTCTTGTTCATGTCTATTGCCCTGTCAGAAGAAAAAAAATACAATCAGATAATGCTGCTCTTGTTCGCATCTATTGGACCGTCTGAAAAAAAACAAATACAATCAAAATTATGCGAGATGGCCACCCATTGTCGGGGAGAAAAGTGATGTCTTAGACACATGGATATTTTAGACTTTCAGACAATGTCATTTTAAAATATACCAAAAAAACGCAAGGTAACTCGTCAAATGCATGCAGCCTGAAATCTTCATAACCCATTTTCAGGACATAAAATAAAGAGGAAAATGTGCCATGAAAAGTTTTCAGGACAGGCAATATAATAATACAGTCGAACCTGCCCTGACGGCCACCTCTATAAAACGGCCACCTGTACAAATTCCCACTTTCCATTTTCCCCCTCGTGTTTTTTCTATATAATTTAACTGTGTAAAACGGGCACCTATCCAACGCGGCTGCGGCCACCATATTTAAACACACAATCCCTATCACAAAAAGCAATAACACCTGTCTTAGACGGCCACCTTAGTGACTCCATTACGTTTTGTCATAAATAGTGCACTGGCCCCTGGCGTTGCGGGCGAGCCTTCATAATCCAATCACTTTGTCGTTGTTGTTAGGTAGTCCCTCCAACCAATCATGTTGCGTAGGCCCCTCCCACTGTTGACCAATAGGTACCAATTTTCAGCTGCTGGTGAGGTAAGCTCGTGATCCCTCATAACCCATAAGCCCTGCCCAAAACTCATACACAAATCATACGTGAGATGAGTAGTCACTGTTTACCCAGTCTGTAACAAAGTAACAATGGACGTCAGCATGAACTTGCCACAGAAGCATCACTCCTTCTCCGTGTGGTGGCGACCCATGTGTTTGTTTTAACAGGACACTCGGTCTTCCTCGTCTGATACATTTCGTTTTATTGTCACCTTTGCGCAAAATCAGCAACAAAATAAAAATAACAAACAAGATACAAACCAACAACAACAACAGTACGGCTACTTTCGACTGGGACTTCAGAAGGGAATGGTTTGTTTTCTTCATCTTGATCAGTCCTGCCTAAGACGGCCACCTGTCTTATACGGCCACTTTTCTCCTTGACAATGGGTGGCCGTCTTACACAGGTTTGACTGTATAAAGAAAATTGGTAAATTTTTACTTTCACTCCCGCATACAGATGCACTGCTTTTGAGAGTCAGAGATGTCCATATTTTGTTAAAAAGATATATTAGATATAATATGTAACTTTTATTTGGTTGGTTATTATACATGTAATAGGTAAAATTACCCTTGCCAGGGTAAGAATTCTGAGACCATTTAAACATTTTAGATAGAACAAAGAATGGTAAGCTTAATTTTTTTTAACATGAAAAGTAGACTTCGAGAGATCAATGATAGTTATAAAGTAAAGTGCCTATTTTTTTAACTTGAACAAGACTCTGGAGTCTCACAATGACCTGGAAGCAACCATTTTAAAGGCTGTTTGAACATGCATGTATCGTATTTGGTAGTTTCCACAAAATTATGCAAAAATACGGGTTGTTTGAACCCACTGTTGCGAGAGACGGTCATGCATGCCAAGAAATAAAACAATAGAATTTTTCAAAGCCGAATCGCGATGAGGCGAGCATGTTCACTAAAGCGCCTATTTATACGGCAATACCACAGCTTTTTTAAACATAGCCTGTACTACCTACCTACAAAAAACACAGATGTAAAGATTAATGTTTCTATAGCAAAATTTTTTTTTTTTTTTGAAAATCCGTCCATAAATTAAAAAGTTATCGCTGTGTACATGTCGGAAATTGTGGGTATTTTGAAGAAAATTTCTATAAAGGAATAAAGAACGGGAAAAGGGAACAAACTATTGAACACTAACATATTACTATATTTAAGGACGGAATGACCTGAAAATTGGAAGATTTATGGTTTGTGGGACAAAGAAATTGAAATTGACAGAATTAAAGTTGTAATCTCAGTACCCAGATTGATAATTATAACAAATAACAAAACAGCTATATAGCACATCTTCATTAAAAAAAACAAAAACAACATGGTTTGTTGTTTCCATTTTGATATACAATTATATGTGGATGTAAACAAATCTATGTTTGCAAAGGGGGGAAATAGGTTTTGAATGCTAGATTATAAACTCAAACTTGCCTACAATCATAACATGCATAAACCAATGGAAATCTACCTGTAAGTATCTTCATTTTGATTCTGCCAAAAACACTGAAAACACTCAACGGATAATGCAGTTATCTTGAAGTCCATATCAGCACTACATTCGCGTATAACCGAAATTAAGCCCAAATATCTGTAAAGACAACATGAAAAGAAACCTTCATTACGTCCCTGTCCACGAGTACTGTTTTTTGTGGTATTCAGGTAGATAAAGATAACTGTCCAACCAGCGGCTAATCTTTTACACAGCCGTGGGTCACAGCGAGCTGGTAGCAAGTGTAAAACCGTGTGCAGCAGTGTTTCCCTTTCTGGCTTTCGAGCCACGAGAAGAACAGGAACAATGTCTACCTTATTTTTTTTGTTTGGTATGCAATCATTATACGAGGAATTTCACAAAAAAGCTTCTTTTATATATAAATTTCAACCTATCTGAGATGATGCAGGAGCATTCTGGTCCACAGATTAATTGAATATACACATTTTAGAGAACAACGTCCTCAAAGAAACCAGCACGCAACTTTCTTGTTTTCAACTTGATTAAAAAATGGAAACGGGTGATAGAAAGATCCCCATCTCTCCTTTTATTTGGTTTTCAAAATTTGGAATGTTTGGGTAATATTTAGATGATCTCTGTATCTTCCAAAAATTTAAGGGGAGTTGGAAAATCACTTTGCCATTTGGCTGGTTTCGGGTTCGCTACCAACCAATCCTCTTTTTCTATAAAATCTCAGTTGTCGCTGAAAATATCAGAAACATTTTTCTTCAGTGAATGCCCCAATTTCTCTCCCGTGCATTGATGTATGATACATGGGGCTACCCCTGGCTAGGGTGTTGGCATACTGTGTTTTCGCACTACCAGAGCAGGGCATGTGGTATTGCTCATTACAACAACTGAGAGCTCTCTTCGGGAGAAGTGGTCCTGGAGAGAGAAACAGACAGACAGACAGATAGACAGACAGAAATAGAGAGGGAGACTGCTCGATTGAAATTATGACATTGTTTTTTTCTTCAAATTGTCTTATATCGATTCCTCCAAAACGGAGGAAAAAACTATCGTTCATCGAAAAGACATCTGCAATCTTCATTTAGATTTAGCCCTACTTTTATTTTGGGAATTTTTAAGCGAGTGTAGACCCGGTAACCGGGAACAAAGTCACGAAGTTTACAGACCCGGTAGGGGAAATCTTTTCGTGATTTCGGAAACTTTCAGGACCCTCTTCGCTCAGAGTAGACTTAGGTTCTTCTAGATCTATGGCCTAGGTCTAGATCTAGAAATCTAGACAGACCATGGGTCTCAACTCAGAATTCTAAAAAAGGAGGAACTTTCAGGGTGATCGCCACAGAAGCCCATTTTCGCTAAACACCCATTATTATTATAGGCCCTACTGTTGAACGGTAGAATAGCCCAAGTAGACCTATTCAGTGTGAGAGGTGTAAAAGAACTGTGGGAGGGCAAGATGCAGTGATACTGAAACTCTGAAAATCTTGAACAGAAAGCTAAAATATAGAATCTAATTTACCGTCACCAATCCAATGAAATGTGAACACTTAGGCCCGTAAGTTCCACAATACACTTACAAGTTATGACGGTTCCCGTTTTCACACAAAAGGCCTGCACCAACGCACACTTTACTTTGCAGAGCTGTAAGTAATCAAAATTCTAAACATTAAACATATTGCTTCCAGTTCCAGTTTTTTTTTCCTCTGGTGTTGCGTCCAGCCTTCCCCCTATCACCAAGTGCGTCTTTTAAAAAACCCAATAATTTCCCCCCATTCCTGACTCATGTACTTCGAAGCGCTCAGAACGCGCGCAGGTTCATAGACTGGTCACAATGGCGAGCCCAACAAGATGCTTAACTTTCTTCTTTTCTTTTTGTTGCCCCCATAAGTGACGGCACAGTGACAAATATATTGATTTATTTTCATGGCGACACCACGTTTGCAATGCCAAACCTGCATGTTGTAATAATTGTTGCGTTTCAGACAATTACTGACAAATTTCTGGGTGGTAACGAAAACGAAAATAGATTCTAGACTCTAGTCTCTAGTTCTAGATCTTGATTTTCCGGTCGAACCTTGGTGACACAATTCCGCTTGCCGCCAAAACCGCCAGTTCGCGTGAAACATACTCTCAGACCAGAACCAAATTAATATCACAATCGCAAACGGCAGAAATTAACTTAAATACGTTATTTATAACTTATTGGATTTGGTTTTCAAATATGAGATCTGTAAAAAAGTAAATGTATTTTCCCGGGTCTCGCCGATTTTTTTTTAATTCCTGGGGTCTGGTAGTCACCCTGCTCCCAACAACTCTCTTTCTGATAGGCACGCTGTCGCGGTAGCAGAGTTTAGCAAAGGAATTTGGTGGTAGCAGAAATCCGCTAATAAATTGCTAAATAGCGGACTATTGAGACCCATGCCCATGCAGACAAACATAAATCATGGGACATATAGATATCTAGAATAGATAAAATTCTAGTTTCGAGTTCTAGATCTAGATCTAGTAGATCTAGAATCTAGACCCAAATTCTAGATCTATATCTAGATCTAGATCTAGAATCTAAACAAAGTCAAAGTTTACAAAGCAAGAACCGTAAAATGAAAATGAGAACCTACCCTGAAGTGCTGGTCCCTGTACTGGCTCAGGGACGCTGCTCCAGAGGGATGTTTCCTTTTACTCATGTCTCCTGTGGAAATCAGTTGTTTATTTTTATAGATCTAGATCTAGTCTCGATTCTTAAATCAGTCGTGTAAACTTAGTGATTAATACGTTGGAAGAGAATGTGCACTTCTACTATTCTGTCGTTAGCCTGCTACTATTATTGTTTTAGGCCGTTTTCCCCGTTTTCGTGTGCTGGTGTCGCAAAACCGGAAGTAAGCTTCTCCACTCTCCACTTCTCGTTTGGAAAACGACTATGGTTCCGTTCACCGGCGTTAAATGAAAGGAATTCTTAAGGAGATGGCAGGCAATTCATTTTGCATTAGTCATTAGGCCTGAGGCCTAGGCGTAACGAGATGCAGGTCAAGCAATAAGAAGATAAATGTTAATATAAACAATTTGGAAGCATGTCAGTTTGTCACAGGCCCATTTTATCACAGGCCTCAACTGTTATGTGACCTGCATGATCGAAGTTATCACTACTGACACTCTCAAAATGAGTATATGAATGATTGATTGATTGTATGAATTGAATTTTATTTTTCAGTTGTTTTCAACAAAAGAACATTCGTTGTTGAAATTTTATAAAAAGTAATTTGCTTTGATTTGCATACAAAAAAGAGAAGAAATATTGAACAACACAAGCTGAATTGACATTTTAGAGTTAGAGGGACTATCTTGTACACAACCAGTTTGAAGGTGGAGCATTTTTTTAAAATGTACTCTGGACGAAGCCACACGAGGTTGCCCCAGAGGAAGGAATGAAGGAAGAATTTTTAAAAACTTAAGTTACAACTATACTATACTACTGTGTTAAAATGCTGTAACTATGACTGTCATCAATACTCAAATGCTTAAATGAAATTGTGACAAACTGTGAAGCCCCCAATTTATGGGTGGTCCCGACGTGGCAATAGTCGCCAATAGACAGACAGAAGACAATAAATTAGTACAAAGCACATTGAGTAGATCTATGTACATTTGATTGAGAGAAAAAAACTTCTCCGAGCAGGAATGGGACTCGTGTCTTCATCATGCAATGGCTTAAAGAACCATTGCACAAAAAACGCTGGTCGTGGGAACAGAACACAGATAGCCTACACTAGTACAATTATGTGATCCTTACCAAAGCACACACACACACACACACACACACACACACACACACACACACACACACACACACACACACACAGAGAGAGAGAGAGAGAGAGAGAGAGAGAGAGAGAGAGAGAGAGAGAGAGAGAGAGAGAGAGAGTATTTTCATCCAGACTTAGGAACAGAACAACTATCATGAAAAATGACGTTAAAAGCTTATGAAGGATAGGCCTGTAGGAACAGAAAATGTTTACAATGTCTTTTGAAGCTATCAAGTGTTTTTATTTGTCTTAATTTCATGGGTAATCTGTTCCACATAAATGGAAAAAGATATTAGAAAGATCTCTCTCCATATGATTTATATGATTTTACAGGTGTCACATTAAGTAGGGTCTTATCGTTTGATGATCTTAGGTTTCTCCCTGGCGTATATATACGGATAAGTTCTTGTAGATAAAAAGGAGCAGTTTTATTTACACATTTGAAAAACATGACGCAGATTTTAAATATTATTCTTTCTTTTACAGGGAGCGATTCAAATATTTGTTGTTCAGACCTGCTAGGAGTGAGTTACAATAGTCTAATCTAGATGGGATAAGAAATGTTACCAGTGTTTTGGTGGTATCTTCGTTTAAGTACTTTCAAACTATTCCTATCCTTCTAAGCTGAAAATAAAGGGATTTGGACAGAGATCCTACAAACGAGCCCATTGATAAGTGGTGGTCAATATATACACCGAGATTCCTGACAACTTTTTTACTAGATGTCATATGCCCATATAAATCAAAGTTGACACTTTCCAGATCTGTATTTAATCGAGGATTTTTTATAAGAATGATGTATGTCTTTTCTTTGTTTAGTTTCAATTTGTTTACTGTCATCCACTTTTTAATTTCATTAAAACATTGTTTAGTAATAGAAATCACGTTTGGCAGATCTTGAATGGTGCCATTTTAACATACATTTGGGAATCATCGGCATAAAAATGATAATCCAATCCATGATTTTGTAAAATGCTTGCTAAGGGTTGTGTATATAGTGTAAAGACCACTGGTCCAAGAACGGACCCCTGTGGAACTCCATAATCGAGCCTGACCTGCTTTGAAAAGCTATTTTTAATTTGCACTGACTGAACTCTTTCTAGTATATATGACTTAAACCATGAAAGCACAGTACATATAAGCCAAATGAGCGCTCAAGTCTTGTGAGTAGAATAGCATGGTCAATTGTGTCGAAAGCTGCGGACAGATCCAAAAGAGTTAAAAGACAGATGTTTTTGCTATCAACGGAATCCAATAAATCAGACGTTATTTTTAAAAGCGCAGTTTTGGTACTATGATAGTTATAGTAGCCCGTCTGTCAATGTCTGACGATGACTAGGCCTAATGCATCAATTTCTCCAGCGAAATAGAAGAATTTTAAGAATTAGAGGTTAAGATGACTTATTGTTGTTTCTACTGTGGCCGATGAGATGAATTCTAGAAGATAAAAGTTTGCCACGTTTTGAACATATGATCAAAAGCTCCACTCCACAGTAAGGGCTGCGGATAGCGGGGATGAACCCGACGACTACTTGGCCTAATATTGATAGTGATAGACATGAGTTCCGCACGTCGTTTAAAGAACGAATTAGGGACGTGGATCTTTAATTTGTCCTAATGCGCCGCTCTAATGAGGTAGAAAAATTATTGACTAATTAATTAGGCTAATACATACAAATATTTCCTCCATGCACACGCAGACTCCCTTTTGCACAACGACTTTGTTTCAATTTATTTTAATTTAACAGATCATCGTTTTTGTAATCATCTTATATAGATCTGTATCTATATTTCTAGAAAATTTTTCAATAAATATACTGATTAGGCCTAAATTAAAATCAAAGGGGGTTAAATTGTCTCTATACAGATTTTAAAAGGTTAAATTTACATAAACTCGATCATGAATAATTGGGACAATCACTTTTAAAAGCAATTAAATTGTCAGCCCTTATATATATCCCTCTTATTATCACAACACAATGTTTATTGAACAAATGGTTTGAGAACCTTATTTTAGTGTAAACAAAAAAACAAAAAAACAAAAAAACATGTTCACTATAAAATCACATTTTCGTAACGAGTTTGGCAAATAAAAGTGCCACTGAACATGATCGATCGATGCGTATGCAAAATGTGTGTGAGTGTGAGAAGCGGGAAGTACATTGTGACCAATCCCATTTTTCGTGGGATGGAGATTTGTTTACATGTAGAATCTAGTACATTTTATAATAATATACATGTACATTTAGATCTAAGAAGAACATAAAAAATATAGCTTCAGTTGTTTTGAAAAAATATGATTTAAAAAGTTTTATAGAGGCAATTTATACAAAATGCTGTTGTGCAAAGTACGGGTGACATTATTGGTATACCCGTTAGAGAGTTGTTTATTAAATTAAAGGGAGCTGTGCCCACAGATTTACACCACAATTAGGTCTAAAAAGGAGATAATTTTATGGTTGTTCCACGATTTTTTTTTACTGCACTTAATTAGACCAGGCCACAGAATTCTACACTTAGTGTAGAAAGTGTAGAATTCTGTGGACCAGGCAAGGAGATTAAAAGTAATGGAGGATGCTCTGTGGGTGGCACAGGACTCGCGGCGGAACTGTGGTCTACCTGCGCTGAGCGAATGCCCGACTTACGCACTGAAATCTAGATAAGAAAGAAGGTTTTATTCCGAGGTCCTTGAGATTAGGCAAGTCAATTAGTAATAAAGTGTTAGAACCGATATGATGCTGCAGTGGACCGAAGTTTTCACAGTTAAGTTGTTTTCCTTTTAAAAAATTTGAATGAAAGTGTTTTTATGCCCCCAGCAACACAATTTAGATCATTAACATTCATAAGAGGCTGGCTCCGGCGCTACCTGCCAAGGCCAACCCAGGCTGAAAGGGATACAATACCCCAGCAGAAAGACCGAGATACTCAATTTTTAAAAAAGTATTCTTATTCTTATATATATATATATATATATATATATATATATATATATATATATTATATATATATATATAATTATTATGTGTGTGTATGTATAAACATGTATATATTATACATTTATATTGCTTTCCACCATTGTGTGTGCAAATTAGATGCTATTGTTGTCTAAATGTAGATATCTAGAAGCTCCATTAGAATAGGAAATCAATACTCAACAACAATAATGATGAATATTTTCTATGTTAAAGAAACACCAAACCATATCAGATGAGGGGAGAGGGTAAGGTGGGGTGGATAAGAGTTTGAGTCTTGTTAGATAGAACTATACTCGGTTTAATTTTATTGTTGTAGTCTTCACCTAAGATCCCACAATCAATAATTCCGGTTCAGTTAAGATTCTGCTGTTAAAAAATAAACCAAACAAAGCAACACCAAATTTTAATACACAAGAGTCATCACTAAGATAAATTATCCCCCCCCCCCCCCCCGGAGTGTAATAAGGGACTAAAAACGCTGCTCTCCATATCATACTTTACTGAACAAACAAAAAAAAACCTTCAAAGGTCATCCATGTTCATGCATGCGATCACACCTCCAAAGGTGCTGTTATCTCTTTTTTTAATAATATTTGAAATCATTGTGCGCTCCACTTTGTGAAAACCAGGAAACAAAATTATTGTAATCAGTAATATTATTATTTATAGACCAAGACATACTGTTAGCAATCAGATAAAGCTGGCATCGACCCTCTGTTGTGTTCGCTATTCCTTACACATAAAGTTAGTTATGGCACACGCCTAGAATCATGCAATCATAATATCTTAAATTCAGTTTTAAAGTATATTTTTATCCATTTCTAATACTTAAATATTTTAGCATATTGAAAGATTATCTTTATAATTTGGTATGTTTGATAATTTTATGTTACTTGGACAAGTTTACTTCTTATTTTACACATCTTTTTGATTTTTAAACTAGATAATAACATAAAACTCTGAAAGAATTGAACAGTCCGTATCACACACAATTTTTTTTTCTCCCTGTCATTATTCGTCAGCCCGTCAGTTGATCACAATCTCTCTCTCTCTCTCTCTCTCTCTCTCTCTCTCTCTCTCTCTCTCTCTCTCTCTCTCTCTCTCTTTTAATACTTTTATTTAATTTTTCCCATTCTCCTTCGTCCCTTCCCAAGGCCCGCCCCTCCTCTTTCATCCCTGCCCCATCCCCTCTTCCTTGCGTGCATTCCCCCACCCCGCCCACCCCCACAACGACCTCAGCTCCGTACTGGAATAGGTAGATTAGGCTTCAAATATTTACAGCACTGTTTCGGCCATATTTGATCCCCACCGCGGCGTACTGCTCGTGGCGCCGCGAAGAGAGAGAGGAGGCTCCATTAGTTCTAAACTCCTTGGGACCAGGCCAATGATTATGGACCAGGCCTTCCCTGTTTATGAGACCGTTGTTAGCCTTGCCGATTTGCCAAAGTTACCCTAGATCTAGGCTTAGTCAGACAATTCCCTGTTTCCTCTCTAACCTGTTTGTTCATAATTTTTTCTTCGCTGGAAGCACGTAAGATATTGATTTCCAGCGCTGAAGTTTTAATTCAATAATTTCATTTTTTTTTTTTTAAAGTAGGCCGAGGCTTCGGTGAAGTATTTTAGAGCACACTTTCGGTCTTAGCCCTAGACTTTGTACAAAATCTGGGCAAGGGAAAAAGTCGGCAAACGGTGCCCAATTGTCCACCAGCCACCAACGCCGTTTTTACAACGCCATTTTGTTTATAAATCTGTTCTTGCAGGACTGAAGCCGAGTGAGTGTGAGTATCCTTTTCAACATTACATCATGAAAATTACAAAAGTCGCAGGTTTCTGTGTCGTTGTTTGAGGAGGAAGGAAAAATGCAGGATTTATGAGAATGTTCAAGGGAGGCAGGGCTCATCTGTTGTTAGACAGTTCTAAGACTAAGACAGACTTGTGTTGGTGGATAAAAAAGTGGTAGGCCGGGAGGCTCTACAGACTCTCAACACAAAAGTTGGCCTAAAGATAGACTAAGTTTAGAGTAAATTCAGCTTGTTGATTGTTGGCGTGGAAGAACTTCCGTAACAAGTGACCACCCCATCAAACACAATAAAGAACAGGCCTAACGCCTAACCCAAACCCTAACCCCAAACCGTAACCCTAACCCAAAGTCTAAACTGAAGTAGGAAGTGGCTATCCTCACCCCTGGCCCATGGTGAGAATGAAAATACGATCGACCTCTCACTCTCACCCCCGGGTGAGCGTTGGCTATTCTCTCCTGGTGTGAAACAAGGCCTCTGAACATTAGCATACCACCACTAGAGTGTCTAGAGTACCTGGCCCAACCCGCGACCACTTGTCGTATTTTGCTCAGCGGTCTCTGTCAGCAAAGTAGGTCAGGCAATCCATGTTCACGGCCGCTTCAGTGTGTCAACTTTCGGTTTATACTGTGCTATCGTCAATCATTCCAAAGCGTCATTCGCAGATTTCGCATTTTAACATGTTAATGCTCTGCCCTTGGCGCGACCAATGAGTCTACATACATAACAAGAGGGGCCACTTCTCTCTTTGAGCCAATTAAAAAAGTGTCCTCAAATTTCGGTGGCGCCCTCTTCGCAAAAGCGCACCTTTTGCGAACAGAGTTATCCTACTTGAGTTTTAAAAAATCAAAGTGAAACTAGCAAGTTTTTGAATGGATTTCGGAAGAACGCTTTTTTAAAATGATTACGCTGACAAAAAACCTCTTCCAGAGGAAAGGGTGATTGTTTTCTTCGTTTAATTTGACTTTAGAATGAAAGGCAAGAGGTCATTAAAATATAAATAACCTAAAACTCCGCACTGAACGAACCAGAACTACTGATGAACAGCAGTCGATCTGCGCACGCAAGGAGGTGCTATTCCTATTCTTCTTCTGGAAAAACGAAAGAGAGCTTCAAAACAGACTGCAGCGCCATCTGAAGCAAAGAGCATACTTCCTGCGGACACTTTTTTGGCTGAGTGGCCCATCTTGTTATTTACTATCTTTGGCGCGACCGCATGCTCTCAACGCGACCGCATACGGAACAAGGCATGACCATGGGCGCACAGATATGACAGGTGCAAGAAAATTGTTAGTACACCATTTAAAGGTTAGTAAAATAATTTCTTTATCAAATTATATGATGAAAACAATTATCTTATAAAATAACAGAGGGTACAGAGACTAGTGGTCGTGGGTAGGGCCAGCTACTCTAGTTTAGTAACTTTAAAAAACTTCGGAAGGACTTCCGTAACGAGCGACCACCCCATCAAACACAATAAAGAAGAGGCCTAGACCAAACCCTAACCCTACCCCTACCCCTACCCCTACCCCTATTCCAAGCCCTCAATTCTGCTCCGTCTCATAGTGGTCGCTCGTTACGGAAGTCCTCCCAAAACTTCTCTTAGAATGTTTCTGAATAATAAGCCTTTCACTTCGAACTCGACTGCTGCACTAGCAGACGACTGACGTTCTCGGAAAAGGATTGACCAAAAGTGGAACTAGACAAGGTACGTAACTCCTTAATAAAGCAGATTGCACACGAGCTGCACAGAAGGAAAAATGGGGAACTGGTCGCACTCAGGGCACGGTCGCGCCAAGGGCGGATGTCTCTAGATCTACTCCGGTAGATAGGGGGGTGCAGGGGGGTTCACCACCGGTAATTGCCGGTCGGAACTACTTTCACTATGCCTATGCCATAGTCTATAGCCATGGCACCCCTGGTGCCTAGTGGTCCGCTATTCTTCCTTTCCGAAATTCCCCATCTCACTCTCCTCACTTTTCGGCGCTTTTTCAGTGGTGGTAGTTCCCACCCTGCAATTCTTTTTCGCCGGTTCTGGCCCCAAGAGTAGGGGGGTTTCAGGGGCCTGACCCAATAAGAATATGCCTGAATTTTACCATAATTTGGTGTTTTGTTGTTGTTAGGTTTGATATCTTGGCTCGCTGCGCTTCAAACGTATAGATCTTGATGTAGATCTAGGCTCAAATAAGGGGCGCGGGAACTACCGAAAAAGCACCCTCTTTCCTACGTCCTCACCCTTCAACTGCAAACTACCGACTGACGTCTCTTACCGGGTTTTTCAGTCGTTATGACCGTACCTTTTGACCCACGACCCTGACACCTTGAGGTTAATTGGTCAATCTGATCACTTGGTCCAGTATCCTATTTGCTCGCAACTGCTAGGCTAGGCCTAGGCCTATTCCTGGTCTGGCAAAGTACAATGGAGGGCGAGAGATGCGCATTATTAGAGCTCATTTGCATTAACAATGCAACCCCTCGGTCCTGCTCGCAACATGGCGAGTGCTGCGAAGCAAGGCTTGGCGTGTTCCAACTCTAATTACCCTGATTGTCCACTTAGCTTCATGGTCCGCTCAAGTTTACAAGTTGAAACATTGATATAATATAAAATTTAAGCTTGTAAACACAGTTGAACGATCTGGACTTTGCAGATGACTTGGCGCTTCTGTCTCACACTCAGGAACAGATGCAAGCAAAGACGACAATTTTAAACGGCCTATCAGAGTCTGCTGGATTGAGGATCCACCCCTCAAAGTCGAAAGTCCTAAGGATAGATGAACTACTGCGAAAGGAGCAGGTCACAGTACAAGGAAATGCAGTAGAAGACGTCGAATCCTTCTGCTATCTTGGGAGTATAATTGACAGAGAGGGGGGAACAGGTGCGGAAATAAAGTCCCGCATTGGAAAGGCACAGGCTGCATTTATTTCTTTGAGCAGGATTTGGAGGACCAGGGATATCTCATTACGAACAAAGCTCAGAATTTTCAACTCAAATGTGAAGTCAGTCTTGTCCCATACGTGCATAAACAGAATCCAGGTTTTCTTGAACAAGTGTCTGAGGAGGCTGCTGAGGATCAAATGGACAGACAGGATCACCAACGAGGAAGTATTAAGAAGAACCAGACAGGGCCCGGTCAGAGATGAGGTGGGAAGAAGACGTTGGCGATGGATTGGACACTCTCTCAGGAAGTCAAGCAGCTACATAACAAGAGAAGTGTTAGATTGGAACCCACAGGGTAAAAGATCAAGGGGAAGACCTCTTGGAACCCGGAGAAGAGTCACGGAAATGGATGTACAGAAAAGTGGGAAGACGTGGAGTGACATCAAGCGACTAGCCCAGGATAGGGAAAGGTGGAGAGTGTTTGTTCGTGGCCTATATCCTGACCCAGGGTGAGAAAAGCAATGATGATGATGAAGCTTGTAAAAGAAAAGTGCAGTTTTAAACAAGTTCACTGACAAGAAGATTTTTCCCATCTCATTTTAAACTTTTACTTTAAAGTCCTTGATGTCTTTTCTTTTCTTTTTTTAATATTCAGGTGAATACAATGTCAGACTTCAGAGGCAGAGGTATGAGAGGTGGACGGAGTCGGGGAGGCCCTCCCAGAGGAGGATTCAGAGGTGGACGTGGCGGTTTTTCCAGCGACCGTGAGAGGGGGCGTGGAGGATTTGGCCGTGGTCGAGGACGCGGAGATGGATTTTCCAGAGGGAGAGGAGGACCACCAAGGTGAGTGGGTGAAACACAGTGACTAGCAAAATATGACTGATTCTATCCATGATTTTTTGAAGCTCTGGACAGAATTATTTTCCCCTGTTCAATTTTAGACCTGGGGTGCATTACTGTGAAGCTCTTAAGTTACTCTAATATGTATTGTAGCTACGCCAATCTGGCTTTCCCGCGCGGCGAAAATTTGGTCCCCGTTTGCGGATGAATTTGTGGACCCGGCCGTAGCGTAGGTGTTTAACTTTGTTAGCCTCGGTCTGCTCTATTTCCGAACCAATCCGAATGAAACTCGGCAACCAATCAGAAAATGGTCAAACTAATGATATGTGGACGTTGAAGTTCGTACACATAAATTAATCTATACTTTTGGTGTCGGGAACACTTTCGTATTGGGTGTACCGAAAACTATAAGGAGTTTGAATTTCAACGCCGAGATGGTAATAGATCTATCTATCCTCTATAGTGTGCTCAAATTTGAACGTTCTGTGTCAAGTAGTTGTTTAGACCCGATCATAAATACACGACTACCCCTCTATCCAAAGCGGCTTCGCACAGAGACTGGCCATTTTCCCCTCACTCTCGTGGCAAATGTATGTGACCTACAAATCCCCGAATGACTATTTTGGGCCCGTTCATTGGTCACTTGAAATAGGGCAATGGCGGGCGCGCGCATCTGGTTGTTTTTGTCTCTATTTCCCTGTAACATCGCAATGGGGGTATTCCGAGGCGAGGTAATCTCGTCTCGGGGTGTTCGCGTCTCAGCGGGGAAAAATAATTTGTAATTGTACGGCATGCTAGATTGAATTAACTTACTTATATTTTACGGTTGGCATGGTCTAAAGTCATCATAAAAGGCTTTGCAATTATTTAGTCACGCTGCCGACATATATTCTTAAAGATCCCATGTTGTGATACGATGCTATAAATAAAATGGACTCATCCCGACACCCCTTTTTCGCAAAATCGTAATATGTACACCAAAATTTTAATTATAACAAAATAACTGCGAAATTGGTAGTAAATCTGACTGCAGAAATGATTTCTACACCCAATAACACATCGGGTAGCCAAGTTTCTCTCTGACACTCCGATTAATTACAGAGATATCGTCGATTTTCTTACAGAATTTGCTACTGCGTGGTCCACTTTTTAGGAGTATTTCCCTACATGTGGGTCATCCATATTTTGCCGACCTTTACAACCCCATAACTTTTTTATTTATGAACCGATTCTTCAAATTCAAGAAGCATAATTCTTAGAATTGAAAATTCTTTCTTAGGTACCAAATAAAAAAAGGGCTAATGTGAAAAATTAAATTTTCATTGATATTGCTATGTATTGTCATATAAACCAAACTGATGGGAATCAAGAGACGAATCTGTTTATATCAATAACAGTTACCTATAATCTGACTGTATTGTATTTTCTCTCAGACAAAAACCATAGAGGAAAAAAAATTGCACAACACCTCTTCGAAAAATTCGACTTTCCGTATTTTCTCAGCTCTACAAGTCCTTATTATCCATAGGAATTAACACAAAATTGTAGCGATATCACCCTAGCACACATCTATGAGGGGGGCTCTCGTGGCCTAGAGGTTAGGGTGTTGGCCTCTCATTCAAAAGTCCTGGGTTCGAATCCGGGTAGCGACCGAAAAATTTTCTTCTCTAAAATTGTCTCCTTTCACCTCCTTTCCTGCTCTCTAGCAATGTTCTGTTGTCTGCTTTCATTTCCACTTTCCGCCCCCACCACCTCACCTCCTTTCCCCCCTCCTCTGGGCTCCTGACTCTTTCTACAGCCTTTCTACTGCTACTCCTTGGCTCCTCCTTACTGCCACACCCTTGATCTTCTGGTAGGAAAGATCTACACCTAGCTTTTTCGGAAAGGGCTAAAAATCTCGGAGGGCCCGTGTGCAAGTTGGGCACGTTAAAGATCCCTTGGTGGTCTTAAATCGATAAGAGTAGGCTTCGGCCACCACCCGGGCAAAATTTAAAATTTCCTACCAACTGAAAAATATTAGGTATGTCCCGTGCGCTCATATGGCCTTATGCATTTGCGAGCGCCGTAAAACACTTTACAAAAACAAAAACACATCTATGAAAGAATTTCACAAATTTAGTTAAATATATCTTTCTTTGAAGGGCCTTTTTATTATACCAGACTCCTTATTGTTTTCCTTTAGATCTAGCGTACATAGCGACAACAAAATAACACTGATTTTTGCAAGAATTTCACAGAGTTTGAAGTCAGGTTTGTTAACAAGTTCTACTTCCTTTCGACAATTTAAATATAGGAACTATATTAAAAAGTGTACATTTGTTTCGGATTTCGCTCGGATATCGGCGAGCCGCTCACAGCTGTCGAATGGAGGCGGCTGAAAAACTTCGAGCCGCTGTCAGCAGCCGAATGGATGGAATCGGTTAACTTTGAATTTTAACAGTGAGGTATCTGAAGACCGTTTGTACAAATTTTATTTCAAAGACGGCCGCTTCAATGTAGAGTTCATTTTTTTACTTTTGAAATCTTAATCAATGTGAATTGAAAATGCAGTTCATATAAGAAATTGGTATAGATGCATTTCAGGAGCATTTTTCTCAAGTGAGACTAGTCTGTTTATTTTCTTTCCTTTAATAATGGAATTACAACCCTTCCCAATGAGTTGCTTTGTTTAAATATGTATAATCTGATAATAGAATGGGCCTTGAACATAACCGTTTATTTATAGATTTAAATTGCCATAGGCCCTAGTTCATTTGTGTAAGTTAAAAACTAACGTGTTTTGTCATTTGGGGGAGGGGGGGGGGGTCAAATTTCTTTTTACTTTTGGTCAATATTACAATTTAAGATTTTTTTTTTACCTATATGTAATCACAATGACCATCCACAGTGATTCTTATATTGCCAGACATTTGAGCAGAGACGATGATTCACCTCCAAGAAAATCTTCCCTCCTGTCAAGAGGCTATGACAGTTCAGACAGGGACAGGGGACCCCCCATGGGTTAGTCCTGTTTCTTTTTATGCTGCCTGTGTTGGGAAAACATGTCTGTAAACTCTGAATGATTTGCTTTTTAAAATTTAAAATTTGAAAATAAAAAGAAAAGAAAGGAAGATGTGTTGCATTATGGTGAAATCAGGTGTTTGTCAAAATAATGAAACCGAAGAAGACAACATTTTTCTGCCTTCCAGCTTAAGGTTCCTGCTACGGGTAACTAAGCCTGGATCTTGTGCAATTGGCACTGGGGAGCATAGATTAATCAGGACATTTTTATTGATTTTTATTCTTTTTGTCCCAACACCTTTTCTACCCACTCAAAAACATAATCTGCTTGGATTTTACCTCAAACGGTGATCATGATATGAAATGTTAATTTTCCAAGGACACTACAGCTTTGGAAGTCACCAATCTGTGGGGGCATTTTCTCGCTAATATTACTTCTTAATACCTGGCGACCCCCACCTCCTTCAAACCTAAATATTTGACTTCTGTTCAAGATAGACAGGTATTTTTTCTCATCAAAAGCTAGGCAAACTAACAAGCTTTAAGATTGTACAAATAATCCGTATACTTCAAAAAATTGATGGGCACCTGATTTCATGTTGTTACAATGTTTGTTTTCTCATGCGGACATCTGCAACATGGGTTGGCTGTTGTTGTTAACTTATTGTTTTAGAATATTTTTTTTTGTATTTAAGAAATAATTCACCAGGTTAAAAGCTGCTTTCAATCATAAGTGATGACCGATCACACCATTCTTTGATTGTACCTAACCTTACCCCTACCATATGTCATGTCCTGGTGCTTAGCTCATGCAGACATTGTCAGCCTTCCTGTTCCTCTGTCTACAGCCAATCCTTCAGTTGATGGTTTCTTAAATTTTTTAATCAGAATTATTCTGGTTTACCACAGAGTTACAGTTTGTAAATTGACATGCTATAAACGTTATGAAAATGAAAATGAAAAGCTTTGCTTCTGCTGTGCTTCATTATACAATTAATTAAGAACTGAAAGTAGCTCACCTTCTTTCTCTGTTGTTCCAGGCCGACGGGACAGATATGAAGACAGTTATGAAAGAGGTCCACCACCATCCAGGTCCAGGGATCCTTACCCTTCCCCTCCAAGGGACTCCTCAAGAATACTTGACAGGTAATGTGGTTGTTGAGGTGATGTTCATTCTTACAGGGGCAGGAAATACGTAATGGGGCTTTTGGCTTTGAACAATGTTATGGCAGTCATGGGGATTTTGTGTGGTTTCATTTTTTAAATTTATGTTTGTTTAGCTACTGAGAAATTGAAGTGATATTTTGATTTTCATTTTTTTACTGAATACTTATGTGTCGTGGTTATAAATGGCTTGAGTGTTACTTTCATACTTCTACCTATTGAGTCTTGACTTTCCAAATTTAATTTCCTTAACCAGACTCAGCCCGCCCCGCAGTAGCTTACGCGACAGAGACTATGGACCCAGTTCCCGCGACTACCCAAGCTCAAGGGGAGATTACTTGCCATCTCGAAGCTACAGTCCCCCCAGAGACTCTGGGTAAGAATTTGAAGTTTGCAGGGATGAATGTTTCCTGAAAATTGGTTGTTAGTATGGTTTGTGTGATTGATAATGTACTTATTTTGCTCCTGTTTTATTGTGTATCTCTCATCTCCCATATTTATCTGCTGCAGAAGTATGTGCTGTGTGTGTGTGTTTTAAGATAATTCAATATAAAAATAGTGTATTAGATGCAATGGTGCCGATACAGCATTTGCTCATTCCTATTACGTCGATAGTGGGTTGATTTGGATTGTTCAGCTCTAATGGAATGAAAGGAAAAGTAAATTACTTTTGGAAAATAAATTTTGTTGTTAAATGAAGAAATAAAAAAGGTTCTAACTTGAAATTTTAGTATTTAAGATTAGTTGTCGTCTTTTATAAACACAACTGAGAGACGCTATTTGGGAGGGGGTTCTATTATTTTTGTACTTTTCTGAGATTTGTTTATCCATTTAACCCCTCCATTTGGTATATTAACTTTATTTGCAAATGCAACTTTCTAAATTTTCAGTTATTAGAAGAAAAAATCAGTGATACCCCTACTTTGTTTCTTTTCTTTAAAAAAACCCCCCATTTAAATATTGCCCTTTATTTGAGGGTGTTATTGTGTGTAAAAATTTTGAATTCCGATAGCTTGCAAGTGAGTATAACTGAGATAAAACCTGATGCTAGGATTGCGGTTTTTCTTTCCCTGCTTTGGATAATGGTAAGCCATGTGTTTTTCTTCTCCTCAGGTTCAGCTCTCACCGAGACACGTTCCGTAGTAGTCTGAGGGAGGACGACCGCGACAGCTTCTCCCGCCCTTCCCCCCGGGACTACCCCTCCTCCCGCATGCCCTCAGACTACGGCAGTGACCGGCCGCCCCGGGACTTCCGAGATTCCCCCAGGGACTATGGTGCTTCTTCCCGCGACTACCCTCCCAGAAACTCTGATTTCAGGAGCTCACTGGGCGGACGGGGAGACTTCAGGGATCTGCCTCCTCGGGACCGGTGAGTAGACTGAGATTGCATTTGTTCACCGTGTCTTCGAATTATTTGATGTCAAATTTAGCGAGTTGCTGTGTTGTGTAATTTTTTTGGATTTTTTTTGTTGTAATCATTTGCTTTCCCCTTTTTATTTGGGCACTAAAATATGTTATATTTTTAATGCCAGTTTACCATTGTGAAGTGTTTCTGTGCAATTTATAATCTGTTTGTTTTTTTAATGTTCTTTTGCCTACTACCAGCAAATGATTATATCTCTTTGAGTTATACTAGAAAATGACGGAGTATGGATTGCCTTTGTGTTGTTTGTAATCTGACGTAATTGCATGTGCAGACAATAAGATGACATAATGTTTTAGATGGAGGCTAGATTGACCATTCTATGTATAGGTTTCCCTAGCTTAGTGATTCCTAGAAGTATTTTTTCACTCCCCCTCTTCACGTCAAGTCAAAATGTCGGACTTAGTCCTGCGGTTTACGATCGCCATTTCGCTCTGTCCGTTGCCATTTCAAACCGATGCTAGATTTCCTTTTTTTCACTTATCACATTAGAAAAACATACTTCTTGTGTGTTCTAGCCATTTTTTAAAAGAAAATCTAGCATAATATGCCTTTTAAGGCAAAAATTATCTGACTTGTGAACATCGGTAAACACATTAGTCTAAATCCTTACGTCTGTGACACTGTTACGCAAAATTTATAACAAAATAAACAGTCAACACTTGTTTTTTATTCACATGTTCATTGGGCACATAAACAAACAAAACAACACAAATTGAACGCCAAACAGTACAGCAGGAGAGTTTTATTTAAAAAACAAACCCTGTGTTGTCTTTCACATCCTTACCCTGAAATCCGCCATATATTCTCGTTCCATATGAGTAATATGTTAAGGAAAATTTAAGGGATTTTTTTAATAGCTTGACAGAAACAAATTTGTAACAAATTGTCTTTCAATCAATAAATAAAACTGAAATGTTGAAACTGTATGGTGGGAAAAAAAGTCATTTTCAAATGTATTTGGACTTGTTCTTTGTTATTCTTGATCCTGTTTGCTCTCATGAAGAGTTATTGTCACTTGATCTTTGCTGTCACTTCCACTTGATCTTTTCTATCGACAATTCAACCATTGTCATGGTTGTGAAAGTGCTTCACTTTCAACATATTCCCTTGGGCTGTCAACTCATGGCAATACTATTCCTTTATTCCATTGTAAGACTAATGTGGGTGGTTGGCGGGAGCTCTGGTGTGGTTTGCTCCTTCTTTCCTATAAAAATTCTATCGTCTCTATCTTCCCTCCATCTTTTTTATGTTTGTTACTCTCTTGTAACACCTCTATTCGACACTTATATGACCTTATTGTGTTGCAAGTGCCGTAAAACTCTTACTAAAACATAAGACTAATTTGAGAACTATGCCTCTACTTTTAATCATGAATTTTCTCACACAACAGATTTGGCCCCATGCTCAATTATCTTTCTGGCATTGTTGGGACTATTTTAAAACTTCCTGATATGATTTTGATACTTTTGTAATTGAGAGTAATTTTGCTTTTAACTGGATGCATTAAGTCCCAAACGTGACCTTTGTCTTGTCAGGGTTTGTTGGAATTGTTTATGGTTAAGGGGGCCTTATCTTTCTCCACCCATGTCTCATCAAATGAGACAATCTGTTTTTAAAAATACAACAGAAAACACAATGCTGTATTTCACTACAACTTCCGTTCTGCTGTGGCACAATATACTGTTGTAAAAAATGAAATTTGGAAAACTGGCTTTTCTCTGCTTGTCTGTATTCTTGTTTTCTGACGTGGTCTGTCTTTCGATCGTACAAATGTCTGGAACGGCTAGAGAGCCGGAGAGGCAGCAGTGGAGGTGATGTCTGAGCCAAAAGGCTTGCAGGTCAGTTTTGTGGACTTTCCCCTTCACAGGCTATCCTCCCGCGACTATGACAATGGCAGAGACTATCACTCACGTTCTGGACATTCTGACAGGCCCGTTCACATGGACAGGTAAGGTCACGCAGATGTTCCTGCCCCACAGACTGGTTCTTGATGCTGTTTTGAGGTCTTGTGGGAGATCACTCAGCTGTTCTCGAACCTGTTTGAACTCCTTGCTGCTGAAGAAATGGGAGATGTTGCTGTGGTCAATGTCCTATGGTCTGGTGTTCTTCCTTCATCATTCTTTCTTTTTTTCTTTTCTTTCTTTTTTTCTTTTTTGTCTGAACGATTGTAGTGTGTGCATTATTGATAGGTTGTTCGGATAAGTTACTTTTCAAATGAAAAGTCCTGTACATCATTCACTCCTGTCCTCTGTCTAAATGATTATTGTGTATGTATTATTGTTAGGCTATTTGATTATTTAAGCTACTAATATGAGTTAATTTTGTTGCTCCTTGTTATTATTTCACCCTGCATGTTTGTGTTTGAAATGCTTTTGGTGTTACCATTTTTTTTCCTGTTTGGTTCTTTTAAGATAATGCAGCACAACTACCTCTTAATTGCGACACGTTCATGTTTCATATTTTCATGGATCTTTGATTTCATGCAAACATTGTTTCTTAACTTGGACAATGTAATTTGTATTAAACGAAGAGAATCTTTGGAAACTGTTTGCATAAGGAAAGGTTCAGTTGTGAAGTATAGTGGTGCCCACGTAAGATTAATAAAAACTCAGTGATCGTGAGTAATAGCCGCCCCCCGGCTCTTAGGTGTAGAGGATGTGTGTGTTTTTTCAGGTGAAAGTGATAAAAGCAGAGATTTCAGAGTGAATGTTTATGATGAGGCATTTTCATTGTAGTTTGATAGCGTATTGAAACTTATTAAACAGCACTGCTTGTAATGTTTAGTATGTAGCAATGCCAATCGGATCAGTTTTAGGTCACATTTAGGTCACTACCGAGAGTCTGTTGACAGCCAATTTGCATCATGTCTGTATTCAGATAGCCCATGACAGTCAACTTCAACCAGTGCCTTTTGTGTCACTGTCAGTTTCTTGGAACCTTGAGATTAAGGAATAGATTTATCATTAAATCATCGTCTTGGTTCGGTTCAGTCACAAATGATCTTCATATTCAATTCTAAAGAGCAAAGAGATTACTGTCTTTCTTTGAAGTAAATAGGGAAATATCTACATTTTGTCTTTTGTTGGCATTCAAGTCTAAGTCAATGAAGTTTTATTATTTAATACAGTTGCATGCTTATCGTTTCAATAAGAAATGCTCCCTTACTCTTTCCAATCAACACCCTCTGTCCATCCTTTATCATTAATTACAACTGGAATTAGAAGACAAAGGCAGGGTGCAGTTCTCACAGGACAAAATTATGGTGTTTATAGTACTAGTTACACAAATAATTTGCATATGGTCGGAGGACACCTCTGGTAGGTCCTACCTCTGTTCTTTCCCTCTTATTTCTGTCCATCTATCTTGCTTTTTACCTCTTGTCTTAAATTAATTTGTTTGCGTCAATTTACTTTTTTTCACAAACTCCAAGACAAATATTTCAACTCACTGTTTTGTTTGAAATTTCTTAGGGATTACGGGTCTAGTCGTTTTTCCAAGCTGGATGACCGCAGTCCAGGCCGTGGACCTAGAGAGTACAGAGGTCAGTCAAGAAAATGTCTGTTGCACCTGTGATGAGCTGAACTGTACTTGTGATGTGTGTGTAGCATCATTTAAATCACTTTCATGATGGGTATCGAACTAAAGGTCTGTGTTAGCCCTATGAGTGGGTGAAAACAGCATCGGTCTGACGACTTTGATTTGAAGGTTATTTCTAGTCACTTGAAACAGGGGGTAAAAAATAATACAATTTTAAGAAAGTCTAATTTTTGCGAAAGATCTTGAAACAGCTGAGTGAGACAGATTGCTAATTATGTAGTGTTGCTACACACATGGGCTGGAATATGGTTGAATCCTCTTTGGGTGGGTTTTGTTTTGTTTTGTTTTGTTTTTTTTTTTAGACGGGTCATGAGTATGGGATTACTTGTGTTTATAGTAGATTACAGCATGATTGGTCCTTCTGTTTGTGAAGGGATCATTGTGGGCAGCCCGCCCTCTAGATCACCAATATTGTGTTGATAGGGAGGTAAAATTGGTACTGTTACAATCTATCTCACCACTCCAATTTCCTGTGTGGAAATATGTCAATTTATTGCCATGTTTTGTTTCTGTGTTCAGGAAGAGGTGCCCCTCGTGGGATGCGTGGTGGACGAGATGACCGCGGTGGGCGTGGTGGTGGCTTCATGAATGGTAAGTCTTTTCGTCCGTCTCTGGAATGTCTCAGTGTCTTGCTCTTGTCTTCTCCATGTCCTGTGCTGTATGGCAAGGGAGGTACCCGTATCCATGTCAAATGGAGAAAGAATGCTTTGATACGTTTTGGACCCAGTATCGCTTTTCTCTCTCCTGTGGAGATGTGAGTGAAAGCTTTGGATTGTCTCTGGGGGTAAATCATAAGTGTTATGATTTTTTTGACATAAAGTAAATTACAAAACTTAATCAAGGAGATTTGTCGCTTGTCCAAGTTCTTTGCAGTCGGACTTGACAAGCTCTTAAAGGAAAGAAATACTCACAGGGCTTTGTGACGAACTAATGAAATCTTGATGTCATTACTCTTGAATCAATGACAACATTGATTGGGTTGATACCAAATGTGTCCATGGCTCGGCAGGTTTTTGGAAGGCAGCAGGACATGCTATGTAGAAGAAAGTCGGCCTTTCATAAGGAGAAAGGAATGAGAGTGGTCAGTGGAGGTGTCCTGAGTGTCACTATGTCTTGTCTACAGAACCTTGTCAAAAATATATTTGACTCTTGCACATGTTGCTAGCTCAACATGAGCCCAGGACTTGCAAAATCGAGACATGGAAAGTTGCTCACTCCACGTTGGAATTGTCATCTGTTGATTTTGAGAGTTTAGTGTGACATGGTAGCACGACTACAATCCTGACTTTGTTAAGTGCTATGTTGATGAGTTTATAAGTAGGATTTTGCTCAAATTGAAGTTTGCAGATTCTGAAGCTGCCTGTCGAGCACGACTTGGTACAACTCTTGAAAACAAAAGTATCAGAGAAGGAAGTCCCTTTGGCACTGTTTCCAAGGAATTATGATACAGAGTCCTGGCACCCATGATGCTGGCTATGATTTTGGAACATGGTTTTTGGAGTACCCAGGAGTTTTGGAATATCACCTGCCCTGCCTCAGAATGAAAAATGAATAAAAAAGTGACTTCTTTGCACCCGTCATCATGCCACAAGGCCTGTTTGCTCTAGGTTCTGCTGGCATGCTTACAAGTGGCTGTTAAAATTTGGGTTTGTCTTATTAGCTGATGGAATTTCAACAGCTTGGCAACAGAGATCAGGAGACCTGAGTTTTGATCGCAGATTTTACAGCTTTTGAAGAGGGAGATTTCATCAAGGTTTTACTGACCAGTCTAAACTTTTCTGATCTGCAATTAATTCTGCTCCAAATTTGGATGGAATGACGCCCATCAGTGTGAAGTTCTCCAACATTGTCCAGCTCTCTTTATGGAAGGTCCAGATTGAGACGAGAAGCTGTTGGATTAACCAGGGCAGCATTACTCTACACCTTTGTATGTGCATGGATGTTAAGTGATGTCAGAAGAGACATATACAGGTTGTAGAGCCATTTTAGTACATAACATAGTGACCAAAGACATTGTTATAAAAGGATTAGCACCTGGACATCATTTTTCTTACATGGGTGTCTTGAGATTTTGCAATAACTCAGGAACCTATATCTTTCTTTCATGTAGAAATACACCAGGAACAGGGTCTTAATATTTAAAGTGGAAATGCTCCTATTGTCTAATCATTACATTACTCTATCACAGAAATATTGAAAGTCTTTAGTTTAAGTTAGTTAAGTAAAGTGCTCAGAGAAGCTCTTGGATTACTTACCTCACATAACCACAGGATATTGTATGGTCTTACAGCAACACTTAGAATGATTATTTAGCAGTTACCTTGGAACAGGGTAGCCTGCATCATTTATCAGACATACGATTATATGCCATCTTCTACATGCTGATCCAGTTGTAAATTGTTTTCATTGCTTCTGTGATTCGTGAAGTAATATAATGAGCATACTATGGAATCATGCTGAACTGCTATTGATGCAACTGCGCATTGACATGTATTGAGTATTGATGCATAACATTAGTGGTGAAAGCCATTCTGTTGAACCCTTTGCTGCTCTTGCTTAGTTATGTGCAAAATGATTTGAAGTTTGTACAAGTAAAGTAATTGCCAGTTGAGCTGCTGACAGTGTATACATTCACTCAGTGATATGCGTGAGGCTTTAATGGAGTACTATGGGATCAGATGTTGCTGTTACTATTGTCTGTGGCTGAGTAATGATATGTGTTCTGTGTAGGAGACCAGGAAGCAGGTCGTGGTAATACTAAGTCAGTGGTATGTCAGGGACCTACATGGAGTAAGTACTAGTACTGTTGAAGCAGATGTGTCTATTGCTAATGTCTGTAGTTGTGATAGCATTGATAGGTGTTAGTGTAGGAGTAGGATACAGGGATGTACACCATGGCAGTAAAAATTGTTTCTGTCTTGTTGCTTGAGACTACTGTACATTCTATGCATGTCTGATACAAACTCAAACAAGAGTTTAGTGGACCAGAAGCCTAAAGCTGAGACTACAACACTACACTTTTAGACAGCAGGTGATTTTTGGTTAAAGCCTTTATCTCTCTAGCTGGGTCCTAGCCAAGGTATGGAAGACATTTAACACTGGCAAGAAATGATGGAAAGGAGGATCTTGTGCCACAGCAAAGTTCATTAGTAGTACATGGCGGCCTTCTAATTGTGGGCAGATTGTTGTGAGTCTGTATGATGAAAATCAATTGAAACATGGCGGGGAAAAGGAGGTTCCCATGTTACGTATAGGTTGTCTACCTAGTCAATTTTCTTTGAGGCCCTGCAGGAGATTGTCGGAGAGAGAAAAATAGTTAAATAGCTTAAACTTTGTTATGATGATCAGCATCACTGTCAAAGTTACGACCTGTGTGAGCTCTTGAAAATCATTGGAAGTAACATGACAGAGCTGGTCACACTCAGTATGTTGTTGTATACTGGTTATCTTTGTTTTTGATCCAAGGATTCTGTCAGGAATGTGACAGTAAATATTGGTAAGTTAGTCTTTTACTCTGTCTGATTCTTCCCCAACCAACCCTTGTTCACCAATACCAAACACATGTCTTTATTTCTTCCTCACAATAATGCGCTGTGCAGGTGGGCGTGGACGAGGTCCACCTCGCGGCCGAGGCCGGCCAGATTTTCCAGGCAGTCGTGGGGGCAGAAGGAGTCCCCCTCCAAGTCGTGACGGACCACCGAGGAAAGCCCCGCGTATGGAGAGCTCCGACAGTTATAGGAGATAAAACCCAAATGTGAAGAGGAACCCCAAGAGTGGTTCTCTCACTGCGTCTGTATAGATATCTACACAACTCACATTATGGATGGAGTGACCTATGAGGATGGGACAATTTAGTTATGATGATGAAGCCGAGAATGGCTCTCTGTATGTACATCTGTAGAGGTATCTTCGCAACACCCAGTTGGACATAGAAATGCAGGCGATGAGACAAGGATTGTTCTCTCTGTACTGGTATATATTTCTGCACAACCCAATCTCTGGATAGCAGGGATGACTCAACTGATTTGTTAGACTGGGAGAATCTAGTATTAGGCAATGAAACTGAGCAAAGTTCTGCTCTGTACCAATATAGAGACTGTCTCTTCAACCCAAGCTTTGGACAGGTCAGATTCATTGAATGACTTACTAGAGTGAGAAAATTTTAATACAACAGGACTAGAGTTGGACTGCAGGCTCTGTCTAAATCAACTAGCTACCAAACCCAAAGGTGGACAGTAGACGTGCTGAATGGTTTATTAGAGTGGGAGAATGTGGATGCTGCTACACAGCTTGAGTTGTTGGATTGCAGGCTTTACATCCCCGTGACCTGATTTGACTACATCCAGTAGAATGGAGTTTTTAGCCAAGCAGGTACCATTTACTGCCTTCTGATTTGAATGGAAAAGAGTTCTGTGATGATTCTAGGTTTGAAGTGTCCACCAGGGATCGGTTTCCGTACATCTAAAGACAAATTTTCTAAGGTTAAAATTTAAAAAACCTAATCAGTGAAAATTCGAGGAACCAAGGCGCACTGCGAGTTGAGACCCATGCATTTGGGATATGCTCAGCTGTTGACATTGTAAATGGTGCAGCTTTTTTTTGTGTGTGTGTAGAAAGCAGATATTTGATGAGAATGGAAGTGGACCCACCTATCAACTAATGTCTGCATATGTTGGGGGAAAATATGGAACACTAAATTGTTAAAAAAAAAAGAAAATCATGGAAAATACCATTCTGATTTTACTTTTGTCAGAAAAAACTGATGTCTGCCCATCTATATGGTCTCCACCCCATAAAATGAACGCGTAATATATTTTCCTCAAATCAGGTTTTGTATCTAAGACAAACCGTAGCAATTATGTTGAACCTTGTAAGTTGTATGGCACTTACAGTGAAAGTTCCTTGCTTAAATGCTGGAGTAAACACTGCTTGATTAGGATGAGGTGTGGTCACTCTGGTGTTAGGTCAAGTCACAAAGTGTACGGAAACCGGTACTGTAAGGTGTAAGGAAACTTTAGTTTTTAAAAATAAATGTACCAAAATGTGGAAACTGGTACTGTAAGGAAACTTTCAGTTATTTATTTATAAAAAATAAATTTAGCAAAATATGGAAACTGGTATTGTAAGGAAGCATTCAGTTTTCAAATAAATGTAGCAGAATACATGTATCAAGTGTGAAATGTCAGCAAACGAGACTGATGTGACAAAGAAATGTTGGCCATTGGAGTTATGTTGAGGCCATCTAATAAGTCGGGGCGTGCTAAAAGCCTTGGCTGTCACCGTGAATATATTATATCAATGCCTAAACTGTAATGGAAGTAAGAAAGGAAAATGGTACAATGTACAGATTGTTAGATGTTGTTTATTTTTTCATTGATACCAATGTACATACACATCAGTTTAGATTAGTGGCTAGAAGTTTATCGTGTCGTAGAAAATTCTTGGCCATGTTTGTGATGAACCTCACAATCTTAAGGTCTGTACTATGTACTGTTAGACGTTATAACAGGAATTCTGTGTTGTTGTTTTTTTTTTAAACCTGACATTGGGGATTGAGGGCTTTGTCTTAAACACTTGTATTGTAAGCACATTTGCTATTTATGTACATATGTTTGTCAATTTCTGTGGGGAAATTAATTCTTTAAGCAAATACAGCAAAATACTTTCAATGCCCATTATGTCCATTTCATTTCCCATGTCTGCTCATTTTCTGTCAGTGTGAATTTTCAGTTCAAATAAAAAAAGATGATAAAAAACTGCCGAAGTAAAGATAGTTTCATTTTGATACGAATTTGTGATTTTGGAAAAGCTGAGCCCATTATGTTTATATTGAAAGATACTGTCTTTAGAATTGGCTACTTGTGGGGGTTTGCTGGCGTCAGTTGTTATGTTCAAAACTTTTATGGTTGTGCCCGGCAATGCACATTACTGTACTCCCCACAAAAAGTCTGGACATGGTCTGCCTTTGTAACGACGGCCTTAAAAATTATTTTTTTTTACAAATGACAAAAAGTCATTGTGAGTCTTTCAGAGAAAAAGTTTTGTCAGCATGAGGCATATGGGTCATGAACACTTGTCCATCTGGAGGTTGGTTTATATAATCTGTACTTCACTATGATATGTGTACCGAGATGTTCAGTCTAATTACAGTATACAGCAACCTGCATTGGGAGGAATCAAGTTCTTCCTTGAAATGACTTTTATTTTGTTGAAATGGGCATTTTTGACAGTATCGGTCATTTAGTACTGCGGAAAGGCAAGACAGACAGAAACTTAAAAGGAAAATGAAGCAGCACCTATCACTCAGTGGCACCTTCCAATTACTTACCAATTGGGCGTGTAACTCCCAACATCATGACCTGCTAAGTAGAGGAGAGCAGATCCCACATCTATGGAATGAGCTGTGTCTGCTCTAGCATGGTGGAACATTATGGGCTGAAAAACGGAGACATTTGGCACAGATTTGACTTATGGAGGATGTTGTGGGTGAATTTTGAGAACATGGAGTCATGTATGGATCATCACTGGACATGAGGGAAAAACACACTGCAGGAGGAGAAACGGTCAAGAGTCAATGCAAAATTTGGCTACATTTTTCCCCCTGGATCCTGGTACGGTCTGCTGGCTGGAAGTTTTGGAAGGAAATCTCAGAGTCTCCAAATGTATGGCCAAGTAGTGCAAAATGCTGCGCTCTGGGATATGCTCAAGGAGACTGTGAGGAATAGCTGGATCATTCTACTATAGGACTGCATGGGGGCAAAGTCAAGATTGACCACCTCAACACTCGGACTGCAGCAAAGAGCCGGACAACATAATACAACTACAGGAAAACAGTCTCTATAGATCACTTCAACATTCAAGTTGGTTTGAGTAAAGTGAATCACTTCAACTTCAACAATAGCGGTCGTGTTGTGCAAGGGAAGTTTTGAAAGACATGTGGGAAAGAAAAGATCTGGGTGTAAAATGTTTCAGTGGCACCCTCCAACAGCCAACTTCAGGGGGAGAATGTGGCATGGCCCTTGGGATTTGAATCTGGAGATAGTATAATGTAAACCACACATCTTGGCTGCCAGTGCGCTGCTGACTCCCTCTTCTTCTTGACTGTTGCTCAAAAATAACTCTCACAGCATCTTGGGCTCACTGAAGACAATGCTGAATGTTACGTTTTACAGCACTATGCAGTGCAGAAAATTTACTGAAATGCTGTCTGATGTGGTTGGTTACAGTTGAGGCTGGCTAGATTTTCTTTGCAAAAGTTACCGTTTTGACTCAATTTGATCAAATTCAAATCCTTCAGAATCAAACAAATTTTTTTAGGTCACAATCATGTAGATTTGATTAAAAATGTGACATGACCAGTCACGTTACATTGCAGGGTCGGATCTTTTGTTTGAGCACGGAATGTAAGGCTGCAATGGACTTCCGGGTCAAAATTATTATCAAGCACACGAGATCTGTTTGGGATAATAATGTGCACTAGCCAGTGCCTTTTCCTGACCGGATCTGATCTGATCTTGCATTTGGTCAATGGACGTGCATTCTAACCAAGAGTTGAATACTTGTTGGGGTTTATTGAGAACGTTAAGATATATTTGATGACTACATCTACAGCTGTGATCAATACACACAGCCTCCAGTGAAAGGCAGAGCTATATTTAATTGAATATTAGTATTAACTTTCTGAACCAATTGTGACAGAAAATCAAAAAGGGAACAGTCAGCTTGAAACATTCTGTTTTCTAGCAACAAGGATAGACAATGGCGCAAGCTGCCAGTTATCTTCATCCATGTTTGGTATGCTTTCATGTATTGGTTACTTGTTGGCTATAGTTAATGGATGTGACGTTTCACACATACTTCCCCCACATTGTACTCTGCAACATGAAATAGACCCAGATGTTTAATAATTGAAAAGAGGTGTGTTCCACTTTACAATGATGTTGATACAGTGAATATGGAGATTGATTTAATTAACAGACTGGGCTGCTAACTAATGGAATGGTACAGAAAGTCTTTTTTGAGTGATACTGTTCCCACTTATAATGAAGCTAAAGAGGTCTATGTTTTTCCACCGCGGATAGTGTCAGACAGTGTTAAACATTAGCTTTGACTTTGAACATTTGCTTTGTTATGAGAGCCAGGAAGTGGGCCAACAAAATTGTCACTTAGGCATCGAATAGCAATCATGTGGAGTGTGAACACTGCTTTTCATTAGTTATAATCATTAAGTCAACTTTACCCTTCGTGAATATACAGTTCTTGAAAAAACACTAATTCATTAAAGGGCTTTCTCTTACAGTTTCTGGAAGCTTTTTGCTTGCTCGCTGGCGAGCTATAGACTTTTTTGTAAGATATGTTGCACTCAATTTAAATGCTTTTAAAATAAAGGACAATGATGGGAACCTGAAGTAAATAGTTTCTGTCAACAAGCTGTTTCTTCAGGGAGAAATGTATGTAGCGACCATGGATTTTTGGAGAGAAGTAGTAAGTTCCACTCTTTTGTAGTTTATATGAAAAAAACTGAAAGCATCCATACCGTTGGGAGTAAAGAAAGGCACATCAACAGAATAGTGGTCATTTAATGCCTGGAAAAGGTATATAACGGGAATAAAAGAGGGAAAGGAAAAAGTAGGACCTGCGGATGGCATCATCGAATCTCTGCCATCTACACTGCTGTTATGGCTGCGCCAGTTTTTAAAAATTGGGTTCAGAGAATGTTATAATAAGAGACTCACAAGTTGAGAAGAGTACACACTGTCAATGGTCATGGCGAACATGGAGATGAGTTTGTGGTGTAAGTTACCTATCATTGGTGTTGAAGTTGAAGGTATTGTATTTGGATTCTGGAAACGGAAGTACATGGTCTGATGTGTTTACAGCAGTTTGGATATGAAAGGTAAAATATCTATCTGCTGGGATGATGTGTTCAGTTCAACCCGAGATTTGCTGACCACAGGGTGAAAGCTGCCCACTTCCTGAATGATCTGAATTGTGTCAATGGAGGTGTTAAACATTTACTATCACGGGTAAAAAAAAGGTACTTAGATTGCTTTGAAAGAGAAAAAAATGGTTGTCCTACTGTCTACACATGAGGTCTGTCTGCTGCCCAGGTATTGAATCACATGGGACTATAGCAGTACATGTTTGTGACACCCAATATATTATTATATATTCTTTGTGTTTTAGAACCATAATATGTCTGGTTCCCAAGGTATTGGTGACAACGACTGATGAATTGAGGACAAGATGACAAAACTGTAAGAAAAGACACTTTTATTTGTATGAGAATTCAAATTATGAATTGGAATTGTAGTAGGGAGAAAGTTATCCCTCACCACAAACCACAATGGTTTCTGACATGAATAAATAAAAGCTGAATTTTGCTTTTTACTTCGGCATATTCAGAATGTTATTTAACATTTTTGTCTTGGTCTACACGATGCTCTGCAATTGGTTTGAATCAAAAAAATTTGAAACAAAGCTAACCCCAAGAGAATCCTGGAGGTGGACGCAGATGATGAGAAGGCTGGAGAAAGCTGGAGAGAAGCAGTAAGGATTACAACAGGAGACTCGTACAAGAACGAAAACAATCATTGGAAAAGGAGGATAGAGGAACTGATCTGGGCTGCTGTTTGATTGTTTGTACTGCCTCTGTTGGGAGCTCTGACGTAAGTAACGCTTTAGACCTGCTGCTGTAGCACTCCTATTCAGGAGGGAGACAACTACTGAAATACATTTTAGAAGCCTACAAAAAATCCATGGTGAGCCAATTAGGCATGTCTATGATCTTTATTATATTTAAATTTTTTAGAACTTAAGTCTAAGATGAGTATAGCTTTATGGCATGGAATCCAACTGATCTTTTGCTTTCATGATCAAGGAAGAAAGATATAAAAGTCAACAGGGAAGTATGGAGTTATCAGAGAAGGAGCAAAACCGTTGCTGTGGAACTGCTTACTTTGGAGAAACAACTCCCTTATCCACAGATGCTAGTAAATGATAAAGGAGTTGTATCATATTCATATATATATATATTATTGTTTAGGCATTTGAAAATGTGACTCTTGGATCACCCAAAATGCCAGGCCCCCACCCTTTACATTCAAACTACAGGCTGTTTTGTTGGCAGAAAGGTTTCAATAGCAACTGGGGAAAAAACGATAATGTGTTAAAACTAAAACAGTTTTCAGAAATATGTGCGAGTCAACAACTACTGCACCCATGTTTCTGCCTGATGTTTCATTTTTTTGACACTTGTAACCGAACCAGGATCAAGGAGAACAAAGGAAACTTTTACTCCTGCCACATTTTTTCCCTTTGGGACTAAAACTAAAACACCTTGAACATGAAGTCGTACTCGGACTCGAGATATGGGTCTTGTAGTATGTTGGAATTGAAGTGACCATGGTATGTTATTCTTATGTCCTTCGATGAACTTGATGCTGAGACAGTGAACAAAGTGAACCTGTAAGGGCCTTAGGCCTCTACCGCACTACGACAGTTCATCCCGGGATACTGGAGTTTGAAACCTTTGAATTAGAGTGTAATGTACCGCACTGATTGGGACAGGACATTCTTGTCGATTTGAGTCCCAAGCAGTTGTGAATCGCTACAAACTCGGTGAGACAGGAGTGAAATAGAGAAATGTAGCCACCTACCGCATTAGGACAAAACTGTCCCAGACTTGGTGACGCCTGCTGTGAAGACCGTGGAGCTTGTGCATTGTGACATATAATCACTTAAAAAAATTTCTGCCGCGCAGGATTAAACTTAGGGCATAAAATTTTTAAAATAATTATCGCATTTCAAAACTTTATATTCGGATTCAGTGTCTCAAAATAAGCAAAATGGCACGCTGGGAACCTGATTTGATGCGATACTATGTAAATTTTAGCGAATAATTTTATTTTTTAATTGATCGTCAATGGTGAAGTTGAATATCAAGGTCACCCGGTGCGTTTCACATTTGCAGGAAAGTCAAAGCTGCTACACACAACACGGTGCAGTAGGCCCCAATGGTTGTGTTTTGCATATCGATTCTCAACTTTATTGTCAGCTGCAGTCGCTCGGTTGCTTCTAATCAGTCTATTCTCATCAAAATGGATGTTGATCCAAATTGGATAGAAAACTTTATTTGTGCAGTGGAAAGCAAACCATGTTTGTACAGCAAGGCTGTTGTTCTCTACGTCTATTGCGATTGGGATATAAAAGACAAGATGCAATCTAAACCGGCTGAATGGTGAAACAGACATGCACACAAAAAATATAATTTATCTTCGTAATGGGGCTTGCGTTCCTCATGTGATTTTTGCTAGTTTCGGGTCGCTGACCACGATTATTATTTTTTATTTGGACAATATTTAGGAAATTTTTCGAATGCATTTTTAACTCCGCCTTGGGCAACAACAAAGAAGCCGCCTTATGCGCCGGATCAGTCCTGTCCTAGTGCGGTATCTGTTTTGACATGCAAAAAATCGACGGTGGGACAAGACAGTCCTGTCCGAGACAAGAATGTCGTAATGCGGTTGAGGTTTTATTATTTCATGGTGTATATATATACTGTATCGCTTATTGTCTGTGGCTTTTTGATTT